ACAAAACACCCAGAAAATAAACCTAGGATAGGTCAGGTGAGATGACAGATGTGCCTTCTGTTTTAATGACTTCATTGTTGACTGGGCAGAGCTTTGGTGCGCTGCACAAAGTAGAAAGTCATAATCATCATAACTACAGCAGGTCTCCTGCCATGAAATTAATTTGAGGCTTGTCTGGGCACATCAGAGAATCAGAATCCTATGTAAGACACACACACCAACCTGGGAGATGAGTTTATACCTTTGGGTGTGACTCAATCCCATTGAACACACACACACACACACACACACACACACACACACACACAGACTAGGCATAAAATCCAGGATCAAGGGGATGACTGGGAGCTAATGAATTTATTTGAATTTGAAAATGCTTAGTGGCAGCCAACTGACAACTTGACCAGGTAATAATCACAGGTAATCAGCAGGGGAGAGAACGAGTCTAAGGAGTCTAAGAGCATGGTCACAAGGGACCCCTGAATGCAGCAGCATAAAACCCAATGATTTAAGAGCTAATTTTAGCCATGAGACTTGACTCTGAGTACTAAACAATCAGATTCTCCCTTGTTTCTAAATTTTCTCCAAGTAGAGGAGGGGCCTAAGAACTCAACAAAAATATTTTGACCATTAAATGTCCATATTCTCTGTTTCAACATGTCCATAAATTTCTATCATACTCGCTCAACTCATTTAAAATTTGAATAGTTCCTAACACATTTGTTCAAGGGACTTCTTTCCTCCAAGAACACTTAACTCTCATTAAAGTATATTACAAATGCAGTGTTTAAAAATACTATGCAACCTTGACTCATAGAATTCACACTTCTGCTCTCAGATGTGACTGGCTTAATGGAAGACTTGAGGCAGGCACTAGGGCATGTGGATGGATCAGGATGCAAGGAGAGAGCTTTTCTAGATAGGGAGATTGTGCAAGCCAGAAGGGGCAGAAAGCAGGGCACATCCTGGGAAGAACTAAGATCTAAGCAAGAAAGGCGCAGGTAGAAAGCTAGCCATAAAGAGGCTACTTTTCAGTGAAGAGGCAAAATTGGGTTCTTGCACTGGAAACCAATTTTAGAAACAACAAGAATACTTTTAAATCCTACCTGTGTTGTGAGTTGATGTGTGTGTGTGTGTGTGTGTGTGTGTGTGAGAGAGAGAGAGAGAGAGAGAGAGAGAGAGAAGTGAATAATGAGAGTCATATGGCTTTAAGAAGGTAAGAACTTTACACTCTACCTGTCTGATTAGGCCCCAGTACTTAACACAGCATGTGAAACCTAGTCAGTGCTCAAAAAGTATTTGTTGAATGGAGGACGGAATGGGCAGATAGATGGATAGATGGATGGAAAGAAGGAAAGAAAGGATGGATGGATGATGGATGGATAGATAAATCACTGAGAATCCTAAAGTATTGAATGGCACTCTAATATTATGAGCTGGTATGAGCTCTGTCCCCACCCCAGGAAAGTCGGAGGTGGACATTTCAGAGTTCTTGGAGCAGCAAGCCCGGGGGTTTCTACTGCTACCACCGAGGCTTCTCTGTAAAGAGACTGTGGATGGGAGAAGAGAAACAGCTTAATATAGACCCAAATCCTGTCATTTACAAATTTAAATTTTAAAAACACATTTAAGTTAGGATAGAAGACATGGGCTTTAAAATCTATAAAAGACATTCTCTACTCAGAAATTTATCTCCTTTAGCACCTGTGCTTCTACTTGCAAATTGAAGAGACAGGTTGGCAATGAGCCTATGACACTAGACTCTGGTGGCAGTAATTGGCAGTTTATCCCTGAGCTTGGACTTCTGTACTTTTCCCTCAGTTTTCTCACTTGTGACTTTTGCTCTCAATGTACTCAGCTTTGTGTGTGAAGATCCCACAGTAATTGCTCACAGGCAATACAGACAAGTCTTCCTAACTCAAAGTCTTGTCATGGCCAGAGATGTGCAAAGTAGGATGTTTTTGAAAATTCAATAAGTATTTTCAACTAACACATTCCTCCCCACTCCAACCAACCAGATGGTCAATTCAGGTAAGTTTCTGCCTTCCACAAACAACACAGACTACACACCACATATGTACTCATGCACTTGTAAATACTACCTAGAACTTACTTATCATATATAGTTGAGAATTACTTAGGGGGTAAAAAAAAACATTTCACTCAGTGAATTTACCAGAAATCAAACCCAGGGTTTATTTTGGGGTGGTGGCAGTGGCAATGTTATTTTGTGGCTCAGCTCATAGCTTAATTATGTAAACTGCATGCCTATTGTAATTTTTTAAGATTTAAACAAGTACTTTAATAATATTTAATCAGAGGAGGTCTAATTTCTTCCTTTTAATTTGTTTTCTCTAACAAAGAGCCTGTTGTCAAGACAATAAGGTATTCTAAGCCTCTTGTGCTGAGCAGCTTAATTGATATGAAACATTGATTAAGCCCCCAGAGGGAGAGCATGTTCCAGAGGAATTCAAACATAACCACAAGGTGTCAAGAAGAAAGTCTGCAACTTACTAAGAGGGTAGAGCTCTTAGTTGGGCAAAAGCATTCCATACTTGATATATAACTTTAGAAGTACACACAAGTGACTTTAAAACCCTCTTATTGAAAGGATTTCATATTTTTGAAAGGTGTTTATGTGTAGAATATGAAAGAAATAGGACAAAGTCAAGGAACTAGAAACATCAAGGAGAAGAAAACATAGAAAAGGGTGACTTCTGAACATTACTCCAGAGAAGTTGTAGGAAACATAGCAGTAACAACCAGAAGGAAGGGCTTATCAGGCATGACTTTGGTGCCCAGCACACTGGGCATGAGTACATGGTAAATGGTGATATCAGTGCTATAGGAAAGAAGGAGCAGATAGCAGAGCCAAGGGCACAAGTGATCTGCAAAACATGGCTCGGGTCCCTTGTGCTCCTTGGCCAACAATGAATCCACACTCTGTGGATGATGCAGGCTACTATGGTACAGGGTTAGAACATGAATCCCTATTACAGGGCTTAAAAAGAAATGATAGACACACAGTATGTATGCATGTGTATGCATATGTATATAGGCATACTCATGCCTATATACACGTATATATACATATATGCATATATACATATAAAATATAAATAAGTGGACATGGTTAGAAGATAAAAAATCTATAAGTAGAAGTACCTATATCTCCTTCCTGCTGGAGAGTGGCTATCACCTGAACTCCAAGGGGTGAGGCTTCTGCTAACAAGACCAGGCTAGAAGGTTCCCCTGCTGTTGGTAGACTTGGTTCTGTTCATTGTTTCTTCACAGTGTGGGCCACGGTTTATTCACTGTCTCACTAAAAAGGGACTCGCTGACAGTGGATCCAGAAGAGCATAATTTGGGAAGGGAAAGGTTATTTTGCCTCTCATGTATGACATTGGTGAATCCTGACTCTTGTCCATGATCAGGAGGAAACATTTACTTGTAATGCCTACATTTTCCCTTGCATAGAAAAGAGTTCAGTTGATCTTGCTTCTAAAAGGAGGTAAAAAATTCCCTGTGCATGGTGGTGATTTGTAAGCAAAAGAGAAGTTTCATCATGTGATGAAGTTACTACTAAATTAAGGAAACGGTCATGATTCCAGAAGGAAGGCCAGCATGGGAAGTGTGCACAAACACAGTGGTATAGATGGCAGTCTTAAAATGCAGAGGTGCCATTTTATGCTTTTCTATTGAATTCAACCAACAAAAGATGCCTGAGGGCATACTCTGGGAAAAGTAGTGTGTCTTAAGGCTCACATGTGACCTGACACATAGGTAACTTTTTCAGACCTTTTACAAAGGCATCCTTATAGATCAATATTCTTAAATGGAGTTTCGATCTTGGTGTCATGATTTTGGATTGAATACTTTGTCTGAGGGACTGTCCTGTGCATTGTTGGGTGTTTAGCAGCACCCTGGACCAGCAGTACACACACCCCTAGATGTGACATCAAAATGTCTCCAGACATTATCAACATTCTCTGTGGGGCAAAACTGCCCCCAGTTGAGAATCAGGCTCTAAGACCAGGTGGACTTTCCTTCTTATTAAATGAGGCACTATTTCTTGGTGCCACATTTGGAAGCTTCATGGAACATAAAATATTTTAAATGTATGTTTCATTTTTTTCTAGTGTCATTTTTCCATTCATCTTTCCATTCTTGTTCTGGTTAAGCTTGAAACTTGGTAACAATGTTTCAGTTCTTCAACTTCTCTTAAAAACTCAGTGGATTTAATTAATTATAGAAGGTTTAAATGTTACTAGCTAACGTGAAAAAACACACACCTTTAAAAACTACATAGTTAAAAGTCTGAAAAACAATTTACCAAGAGCAGATAACTTCATCTGCTTGTTGGACATGGAATTAGTGCTGTCTCTGGCAGTAAGGCGGGAGGGTGGTAGGAACCCCTAACAACGCTCAGTGTGTTTGCTAGGGCTGCCATACAGACCAGTGTATTCACAGCCCTGACATGTGGGTGTCCATCCCCCCCCACGGCCTTCCTGGGCTTCATTTCGCAGCTGGCCAGCGGGGGGCGCGGGGCTCTCAGCATCTAGACTCCGGGACTGTATCCCTGTTTGTCCCAAGGTCACAGCTCCGGAACGAGGTTACCAGCTGAAGTGGGGACAAAGAGGGTGGCCCTCGAGGCTGAGACCCCGGTGCGGGTGGGGTCCACTGGGCTCGTGGCCAGGGATACAGTCACAATGGGCCAGGGTGGGAAGGCGCGGGGCCCGGGGTCGCACAGTGGGCACCGCCACCAGACTCTGTGCCCGGGAGGGAGGGTGAGCGTAGGCGCCCCGCAGCCCTGCAGGACCCTGAGCGCCGAGGTCGTGCTGCCCAAAGACCCGGGTGCGGCCAGGGGAGAAGTGAGTCCAGCGCAGCGGGCGCACTGTCCGCCAAAGGGCACTGTCCCCGCCCGCCCGGCCCGCCCTGTGCGCCGGAACTGCACCTCCGCCCTCACCTCCCCGCCGCCAGGTCCTCCCGGGACCCCTCCCCGGACATCCCCCAGCACAAAGTTGGCGGGAGCCTATAAAAGTCAGTTACGGCGCTACCGCGAACACTTAGTGCCGGCCTCTAGCAGCTACCGCTGGACCCGCTCCAACTCCTGCTGTGCCCGCCCCGCCACACCACCATGTCCCACCACTGGGGATACGGCCCCGACAACGGTGAGTACACGAGATGCCGGCCAGGCCCTGCAACTGCCCTGGCCGTGGACGGAAGATCTCGCTGCCCAGGTGCCCCGGCGCGGGGTGCCCTGTGTCCAAGTCCCAGCCTGAGCCCCGTGCACGGGTGCCCACTGCCCCAGTTCGGCCCTATGTTCATTATCCCTGCATTCGACGTGCTCAGGGCGCAGGCGGAAGGGGGGGGGGGGTGCAATCTCAGCGCGAGACCCTAAGACAGTCTCTCCTGGGTCGCGATCCGGGTACTGTCCTACCTGGACCTAAGAAAAGCGAGGAAAGGAAAAACTGAAAATGTTAGGCGTTGATGACAGAGAAATTAGGGACTCCTCGTCCCCCTGACCTAATACCTACTCACCCCCAACCCCCATCCTCAGCGCTACCTGTAGCTAAAACTCTGGCCACCACCTGTCCCGGGGATTTCGGGGGCCGGTTAGAACCCATTGCGCTGATCTGAATTCACCCTTTATCTCTGTACCCTAATGTTAGCGGATCACCAGGATCTGGATTTTACCAGCCACGGACCTGGTTTCTGTGAGCCAGTAGACGAAACAAGATGCGTCTTTGGGAGTTTGGAGCTTTCCAGGCCGTGGGGATCATGGCTGTTAAGGGAGCGCCAGGCCTGAGCCAAGCACCAGGTCAGAAGGATTGCAGTTCGGGCCTGCTGGGTGTTTGAAGTGAGCTCACATGTCCTAAATTCCAGCCACCAGATTGGCCTGCCCATTGCTGCATTTCAGTGAAAAAAGTGTGAACATAGCTAATAGTTGCATGGCTCTCACTGTTCTTAAAGCTTTCCACGCACGGATGCCCATTCTCACAACAGTCTCTCTACAGGTAGAAGAAGATATTATTAATCCATAATAGAAATGGGGAAACGGAGGCACAGTGTTGTCCCAGAGGTTATACTCAGCTCAGTGGTACCGCCAAACTGAGAACTGAGCTCTATTGCCCTTCTTAGGAGTGTGGGTGTGCCTGTCCCCACACTGGGGGCTCACACATTCCTTCTGTCCCTTCTCAACCTAGGACCTGAGCACTGGTACAAGGACTTTCCCATTGCCAAGGGCAACCGCCAGTCCCCTATTGATATAGACACCAAAGCAGCCCTTCATGATCCAGAGCTGAAGCCTTTGTGTGTTTCCTACGAGGGGGCGACATCTAGGAGAATCATCAACAATGGTCATGCTTTTAACGTGGAGTTTGATGACTCCCAGGACAAAGCAGGTTAGTGTTTTAAAAAAAATAACTAGTGCCTTTTATTCAGAACTTGTTTTCCCAGATGAATGGGGGACTGCTTCTCAGCCCTGGAAGAGCCACTCTGGGAACCATCACAGGTGCCAGGCTGAGAGGGTCAGGCTGATGACCTTGAAGTGACCTTGGGCTGTTTCTCTCTGAAATCTAGGCACTGAGAAACAGGGATATGCCTCTGAAAAGTCTCAAAAGGCAAGGTCCCCTGGCAAGAAAGACCAGCAATAATGAGTTTGGCAAAATTAGAGCTGTTAAGATTCTGTCTAAAATGTTTTCCAGAATGGATGCCTATCCAATAAAAATTACATTTGAATGTGATCTTCAAGGTAACAGTGAGGAGAGTGATGAAAACCTGACAATTTAAAACACCAAAATTCTTGGAAACAATATTTCTATGTATTTTCTGGCCTTTGGGCTGGTTTGATAAAGGTGGCAAGTATATCTTGGTATCTACCCAGAAATTCATTGCACAGATGAAGAAGGTTTAGAGTTGGTGGATATACTTGGCCCATTAGTGACAAAACCAATTTCCATAATTTGTTTGTAATGAGCAGTTTATGGGACGCCCATTGAAAGATTTTTTTTTCTTGTTTAGAAATAGAACACCCCTATTCAGACATAGTAGTGGCCTTCTTTGCCCACTGGTTGATTTTATTGCCAGCACCCTATTTTCCCAGATGCTGCCCTCTGAAAGTCTTTGAATGTTACTGTAAACTTATGAGGTTTGGTGTTGGGAGAGGGGGGAGTGTTGGGAGAAAATGAGAAAAAGTAATTTATAGTTCTGTCAAAACTGTGCAGTAATGACCTATAGTACTAATACACAAATGTAATCATAGCCATTATAGTCAAAGTGACAGTTCCTTTTTAGTACCTATCCAATGTATTCAGTACAGTTTTGAAAAAAATTCTTCTTCCCTATCCCTTTCCCTTTTAAACATTTTTTGACAGTTGGTTTTCTAAAATAGTGATTTTGCAAGACAATTTTATGGATGATAATACAGAAATAATATGAGAAATGTTTTTAACCTGTGCCCTGGGTCACCTCACCCAGTATACACACTCATGCACATGTGCACATGTGCACACAGACACTCACATTCTGTCATAGTATCGTGATTTACTAAATTTTGAGTATTAGATTCAGTGGACGGTGTTCACAGGAGATACTCCTTTGGGATTTCTGCTGTATTGCTTTCCCAAGCATGCCTCCTGATGATTAAAGAAACAATACTCTGATGATTAAATTAAATGTAAGGGAAACAACTTCTTTCCTTTATGAAAGAACACAATATGTTTAGATTATAATAGGATAAAGCCAAATGTCTTGGTAGTTTCATACATATAGAAAGGATACTATAAACCTTTATGTTTAGTTATTTAAAAACCAAAAGAAGTCAGCTCCTTTAGTCTATAGTTGTCAGCTGTTATTTAAAAAAAAAGACACAATGTACATTCAGTGTTGCCAATGAAATCTTTATTTTCAGTGAGTGTACCAATTACATACCTCAATGGATGCTACATAGAATACAATATAAAATTAAATGTCAGCTGAATGTTTGAAGTCTTTTTTTCTTGAACAATGAGAAAACAAATGGAACAGAAATAAACTGTTTTAGTAATATGTATTTTTGGAAAGTATTTTGCAGCATTTAAGTCTGGCAACTGTGAGCCTAGACTGGGGTCAGACAAACCTAGGTTCAAGTTCTAGCTCTGCCACTAACTAGGCCAGTGGCCCTGAGAATGGCAGTAACCTGACTTAAGTTTTCGTGTTCTTACCTGTGAAAATTGGAGTAATAGTAGTGTCCACCACAGAGGAAAGAGTTTTTAATGAGCTCTAAGATTATCTCCCATCACTTGATGGTGTTTTAAAATTTCATTTTTCAATGTTTCTGAATGTCCCATTTATTATTAAAGCATGTACTGATTTCATATATGACTGCTATATAGTTATATATCTTACCATGAATCTATCAAGTTCCAGTGGATTTCTACACAACCAGTAACTAATTAGAACTTTCTACTTCTCTTTTGAGTAACACATATTATTAAAGTGGTGGCAGAGTTCAGATTGTAAAACATGAAAATCAAGTGATTTAGGTAGGGGCTCAAACCCACATCTTTAGAGATGCATGCATGCTTCACTTAATTCTTATTTTAAAACTTCTTATTAACACAATGAAATGCAAGGTCAGCCAGACACCCTGAGAGCAGGATGGAGGCCCTGTCTGGTCTCTGCCATGTATCCAGAGCCCATGCCAAGGTGCCTAACCTAGCAGGATGGGGAAGTAATAGGCTCTGACAGTCACTTTGATAAGTGCAATAAGGAAGTACTGCAGGGACTATGGAAACATAAGAAGTCTTGAGAGCTGGCCTGAGTCAGTCAGAAAAGACTTTCCAGGGTAAGTAAAGCTTATGCTAAGACTTGGAGGAGACTCCGGGTGAAGGAAATAGGTAGGACGGGGGACTTGCAAGAGCACAGTACCTGCTCTGGACAGGCAAGGATGCTGTTGAAAGGAACAAGTGGAAGGCAGGAAGTCCTGCTCTCTTTATATGTGAAAGACTCCTTTGTAACTCTGACCAAACACTGCAACATCTTCAGTTGTTTTGGTTAAACAGGGAAGCAGTATTTTCCTAGAATGCTGAATGAATTAAACATTGATGTTACAGAAAAATTCATCTACAAAATTAAAAAGCAAAACCAAAGCAATCATACCATGCAAAAAAAACCCACTTTGCACTTTTTTTTAAAGATTCTAGTCTCAGGTTAGCACTTAAAATAAACATGAAGAAACAGACACCAGAGTGTAAGAAACCTGCTCATCACCTCCTTCCCAGTTTGTTGGAGTGAGACTACATGACAATCACCTAGAAATAGAAATAGAATAAAAACCTTTGGCAATAACCATAATTAGCATTTAGCATGTACATACCATGTTTCAAAAAAATGATACGCTTTTCTGTACACTTAAGTCTCAAAATAATTTATCAGTTTGGTCACTCAAATTTTTAAATCGACAGTTTAACACCTCTTTTTGTTAGGAGTTATTGTTATGGTGTTAACATTTTTTTAAAGATTTTGTTTATTTATTTTTGGAGAGAGAAGGGAGGGAGAGAGAGAGAGAGAGAAACATCAATGTGCGGTTGCTGGGGGTTATGGCCTGCAACCCAGGAATGTACCCTGGCTGGGAATCGAACCTGCGACACTTTGGTTCTCAAGCCCACGCTCAATCCACTGAGCTACACCAGCCAGGGCTTGTGTTAACATTTTTTATATTCTTTGTCACTTATTTTGTACTTTTAAATTCTTAAATTCATTTCCTTTTCTCCCCCCTCAATGAAATTTCAGCCTTCTAGAACTTCTCATAGATTCAGATTTTCAAATGTATCCTAAATGTTGCCAAATATTTGGTAACCAGACTTAAATATTTGGGAATCGGGGAATGGGCTAGCAGAATTTATTGCTGTGTATAAGCTTGAGGAATTCTTTGTACATGTGGAGTTAGTTAATAGTGTGAAACTGGAAGCTTGGGTTAAAGCTCTCATCAACCTTCTAAATTCCTTTAAAAATAAACCACCTTAAATTAATGAAAAATCATTAACTCTGTTAGGGTTTCTTTTTAATTATTAAAAATTACTTTCCCTGCTTGAGATCTTTTATTACTGGCTTTATCTGAGAGAAAAGAATAGTAGTTACAATTACAAATTCCTACTAACTTATTAACATTTGCTAATGAGTTTAAAACTCTCTTGTTTTATTGCAAAGTTAGAAGCAAATATCCTTGAAAAGTCAATGCCTGAATTATTGGCTAACCTATACACAACTCCCATCATTTGCTCTTTTTAGAAGTTGGAATATTTTTATCTGTTTATCTTATTCAAGAAAGAAGAAAGAAGACAGCTGAGTTCTCTATGGTCAGAATAAGCAGACCATGGTCTGGATAATATGCTGGATCTTCCAACCAGACTCCTGCTTGCTTTTCAGGAACTTGCTTTTTTTTTAAGATTTTATTTATTTATTTTTAGAGATAGAGAGAGAGAGAGAGAGAAACATCAATGTGCGGTTGCTGGGGGTCATGGCCTGCAACCCAGGCATGTACCCTGACTGGGAATTGAACCTGCAACACTTTGGTTCGCAGCCCGCGTTCATTCCACTGAACTATGCCAGCCAGGGCTCTCAGGGACTTGCTTTTGAAGCTTTAAAACTTTCCTTCCACAAACAATCTTAGTTGAAAAGGAAACATAACCACAACAAATGGAAGGGCTTGCTATGCAAACTGTTCATGGTGTGAGCACGACCCTACCTGCAAAATTGACCACCACTGTATTCAATCATAAGGGGTGAAGGGATTTTCCCTGGTGGGCCCTGAGAAGGTGCTATGTAGTTTTGGCTTAAGAACCGGAGATCGCAGGAACATAGCTGATGGTGCTGGGGACTGCAGGAGGCCTAGCCAGCTGAGCATGGATTACTGGGAGGAACCAGGAGTCTAGGCTAGCTACAGACTTCTCTTTCTTTTTCCGGAGACACAGTACCCCTGACTGGCCTGGTTGGGCAAAATGGGGGAAGGCAGGATTGTTTGTGTGTGTTTGTAGTTGTTTTAAAGGGACTTGGGGATTTTAATGGCGACATTCCTCCGTTACTCTGAACCTGTATAACTTTTGAATAGAGAGTTCCTTTCTTTTAGTTCTTTTCACAAAAAAAAGGAGAAAAGAAATGGAATGTGGGCATCTTTTTCTCAGTTTTGTTGATATTGACATTCATTTTCATAACATTAGTAGGTAGGTCAAGGGTTATGGATTACTGCTGAGAAAGCAAAAGAGGAATACATGATTTAGTAATTTTCCAATTATTCATAGAGAAGGAATTGTTCATCTGCCAGAACTGTTCTGTTTTTAGTAGACTTGTTTATTTACTTCATTAATAGGAAACCCCTTAAATTTTAACTTTGAGCCAAAGATTACTGGGTTAGTTTATTTGTGCTTTGAATCTAGGAGAGATTCAAGAAGAGAATCTAGAAGAGAGATTATTGACATCCACTAGGTCTGAGAGTTTGTCGTTTAGATGCATTTTATATTCAGTAGTAATAAAGTGAATAGGAAGAAAAAATTCAAAAATGTTAAATTTTCTATTTTTAATTTGTATAGTTGGACTGATTTGTCTCAGATGACTGTTGTGAATGTCTTAATTTTCACAAATAACATATACTTCACATAATTTTTCCATGTAAACTATATAGGAAGATAGATTAGTGTATAATATACTTGGTACTTGTTTTGTGTTACATATTTAGTTGGTACAACTCATGGCAGATTATGAAAATTCAAACCAACTGCAGCTCTTGGTGTTGAGATTTGGATTTAAGTTCAACAGAAAACCCACACCTATTTGTCCATTCCTCATGGAATACATGTCTGTGATACAGTGAACTGATGGCTCATCAGAGCCCCACTACATGTCTAAATTTTAGAAAGAGAAAACTATGCAGTTAGTAACTTCTTCTATTTTTAAAAAATTATTTTTGCATTAGAAAAGCAAGTTTTATTTTAAGTTGGGAGAGTTTGGACAGTGACATATGGCAATCAAAATAGGTAAGTAAATAAGTAGATCCGGAATACAGCATCAACTTTATGTCATTCAGCCAAATGTTGTCTTTTCTGTTTCCCAAATAAAAAGATATATGCTACCTTTATTATAATTTATGGAAACATTATTATAACAATGATTTTGAGGGACTTCATCAACTAGAATTCAGGCTAAGAATTTTTGAGAATAACCAACTAGTTGAAGATGACCAGAAATGCTGCTTTTGATAACAATACACTTTAACAACTTAATAATCTTTTCTAATTACAATAGGCTTCCAATTTACATAGCAACATAGTTTTATTTTACTAGGAGCTAAAACAGGCATCTGGTAGTAACAGATTAACACTGATAATCACTGAACCCAGAGAGCTTCTTTTCTATTTTCTTTTCTTATAGTATTAGTAAGTCTTATTTAATGAAAGCTCATATATACTTGCCTAATTCTAAATGTTCTCTAAAATAATTAGGATAGACTCTTAAGATCTGCAAGGGAATGGATAAGAAATAGCGTTAAGCCTTACTATCTTTAAATTTTAAGATTCTATGGTTCTTTGCAGAAAGGAGATACATTTACAAAGATCAGTTATCTCAGATGCTTATTTTAATTTTATTTAACTTATTCTGCCACTCGGTAGAATTAATGACATTACAAATGAATTTTTTGATCAGCTAGCCAGTTAGTAGCTTTAAAAAGTTACAAAGGAGTTAATTTCAACATCAATTTATTTCATAAGCAAATATTTTGTTTTAAGGGTTTATCTCAAAAAAATAGGAATTCTCTCATTTTTGAAAAAAGCCTATTTGGGTTAATAAAGCTAATTCTTTCCTTACAGAATTATGTGCTTAAAAAAACTTTTACAATTAATTGTTTTTAAGTTTGAAGAGGTGTGATTTTATCAGAATACTTGCAAATTCATGTTTCTTAACAGATCTGTAAAATAACACCTTATAATTTGGTTCTTTTTAAATTTTTATTCTTTCTTTTCTTCTGCCCCATTGAAAGGCAGAGCTGGCAGCCAGAGATTGTATCAGGAACCACAGAAAGACTCTCCACTTAAATATCTTGCATCAGCTTTATCTTTGCTGTGAATAGATGAGTGTATGTTGCTACCTTGTGAGCACACTTAGGTCAAGTGAAGCCAGCAAACTTTGTTGTATGGCCAGACTTTGTCCCTTTGTTTTGCAAAGCCAGAGTAAGTTTTGACTTAATATTTTATGAATTATAAATCAAAGCTAATAAAGTACCCTTATGGGAAAGGATGTTTTAGTCCCATTTCTGAAAAAAAAAAAGAAAATAAAATTGAAGTAGTAGAATTAAACTAATTTTAAAAGTTTTAAAATATAATGGTTAAACCCTGGTCAGGTGGCTCATTTGGTTGGAGCATTGTCCTGTACACCAAAAGATTGCAGATTTGATTCCCAGTCAGGGCACATACCTAGGATGGGAATTTGATCCTTGGTCCAGGTTCATACAGGAGGCAACCCATCAATGTCTCTCTCACATTGATGTTTCTTTCTCTCTCTCTTCCCCCTTCTTCTCTTCTCTCTCTAAAAGCAATAAAACATATCTTCAAGTGAGGTTTAAAAATATATAAATATATATACTGGTTAAATTCCATTAATACATATAATTCAGATAAAAAGTGTCTTGTAGGGGATGGGGAAGCAATGATTTCTTACTATTTTAATCTTCCCTTAAGACACAAGTAGTTAATTATCTACAGATAGACTAAGGTCTAACAATATAATTTCTAGTACAGATTTTGCTGTAACAAAATTCTGTTGATATCAGAATAGTGGTACCATGAAATAGTTATTAAAGTTAGAATTTGAAGTTGTTGGAGGTAATAGAGCACCTCACATTACATATAGTAGGTGATCAGTACTTAGTGTAGTAATCAACAATTGGTTGTACCCATTTAAACAGATGAGGAAGTTAAAGTTAGAGAGGATACATAAAAATTTTTAAGAGGACAAAGCTAGTCAGTAAGTTTTGAACTTGGATTATCACTGCTACTAAATAATTTGGAAAGCCTGTGTGAGGAAAATTAGATTATACAGGCTTAAGATCAAGAATGCTTATATTTCAGAAATTCTGGCATGTAGGACTGGTATGAGCAGTTAGCTGAGCCTCTGTAAGACAGTCCTCAGGCACAGACGAGAGACGTTCCCATGTTTGTATGAGTGTGCAGGAGACTGCCTCTGGCCAGCAATGCCTGGAAACTTATTTCCTCTGTGACTCAAAAGAGGAGTTATTAGTTCCCTTTAAATTTCTGCTCTCTGACCCTGAACATGTGATCCCAAAGCAAACCCAGAAGAGAAGTGTCACTGTGCTCAGAAAACAGACGAGAAAAGCATTCATCCTTTAAGCAAAACATGGGAGGAAAAAAAACAGTTGAAAAGATTTTGTTTGAGTCTGGATTTCATTTTCAGATTGAAAATGTTGCTACAGGCATAAATGTAGTATGTACAATAAAATGGGACTTAAATGTAATTTTATAGTTGTTTTTTCATGAGCACATGTATGAGTATGTGTGTATATACGCATGTATATATACATATTTGTATTTTTATATTTCAGTGCTGAAGGGAGGACCCCTCACTGACACCTACAGACTGGTTCAGTTCCACTTTCACTGGGGTTCATCTGATGGGCATGGCTCTGAGCACACTGTGGATAAAAAGAAGTATGCTGCAGAGGTAATATATGTTTATTTTCTTTCTGGGAAAAATGCAAAGTGACATTAGCATTAACTTCAAAATCTTAATTTTGTAAGTTTGACTCAAACCACGGGAACCACTTCTTTAACAAAAGACCTTTACATTTGCTTATCATCGGCCTTTTTTGTGATGTTACAAGTCACACTGTAAAAACTTTACTACTTCCAAGGACAGTGTTTGTACAGAGTGAATGAATTTAAGTGGGAGGACCTTGTTTTCATATGAATTTAGAACCAGAATTGTGTCCTCCCTCAGAATATGCAGCTCCTTGTTGATAAAATCACTTGCTAAATAGTGGGTAATTAGAAATAAAATGAGAGAAAGGTTTATATTTAAAATTGCCTACTTTTTTGGGACCTTTAGCTATGAAAAGAGCCCACTGGGGACAGTTTGTATCTCTTCTTCTATACATCATCACTGCTTGTGGTTTGTCCCTGTGGCAGCTTCACTTGGTTCATTGGAATACCACGTATGGGGATTTCGGAAAAGCTGTGAAACAACCTGATGGACTGGCTGTTTTGGGTGTTTTTTTGAAGGTTAGTGGATGGCCCAATTCTTTTCCCCACTGTTTTCAGAAAAGAGTAACCAGATGAGAAATTTCTAGCAAATAGGACATTCTACCGAGAGCCTAGGAAATGCCATTGACTCTAAAATATTTTCAGGCTTATTGCATATATGCCAGTAGGGGTGAAAATGGAACAGAAGACAACTTGAGGGATGTTTATTGGGTACTATTTAGATGTAAATGTGAAGATCTATACCTGTCAATGGTGAAATGAGGAAGAGGCATACTATTCACGTATACTGTTTTTTTTTAATTCAAACTTAAGCTAGATAGTGCTGTTTTATGATAGATAATTGTGGGAGAGGAATAAACTTTCCTTTACCCCCAAGGCTCTTCTGGCTGGTCTGATAATCAGATATACATGAGACAAGAGAAAATAACCAAATTTAATGTATAATATGTATGGGAACCCTATATACATAAAAGAGTCAGAGACCCACAGGCTGGTGCAGTTCAGAGACAGAAAGAGAACATGGGTATATAAAACACCCTGAGCAATGGATGAGGTAAGGTGCCCTGGGGGCTTCAAAATGTCATTGTAGGATGAAAAGAAGTTTGTCCTACTCCGTGCCTATGTCAAAAGGGGTTTTCTCTGATAATCACTTATGGACAAGGCCTCTTGTTTAAATTTTTCTGGGTAATTAAGGTAAAGGGGCAGAAGTTTTGAGTCTTCAGCTAAAGTTAACTTTAGCTCAAAAAGTCTGCATACCACAGAGGCACGTCATATCAGGAAGTTACTCATTTGGACCCCACACAATGCTAAATGAAGACCAACCAGGTGTTATAATGGTGAAGGAAAGTGGCTCCATATTGGAAAATGTCAGGCTACAGTAGATAAACAGGTTGAGCTGCCCTCTAGACACCAGTGAAGTCAATGGAGAACTGTCTGGGCTGGTGAGTCATGGGCCCAGAACTATGTCAAGGTAGAAGCTATGTGTGTATGAAATCATCCAAGGAAGGCACAAAGAGGAAGATATGGCTGCTAAGCAAGCAGCCCTGAGGAACTACAAAGTGTAAGGTATTCCGGGCTGCAGGAAAGATGCTGATTACATGATGAAGGGAACACAAGGGTCAAGGGGGATTCAGAAGGCAGGAGGGCAGAAGGAAAGCCAAAGGGAGAGAGAATGTTCAAAGTGAGGGAGGGCCATAGGTAAAATTCTCCCAGAAGATTAAGGTGAACACTTGACCAGTGTTCTTTCTTTGCAGTTGGAAGGCACTGTAGACACTTTGCCGAGAGGGTTGTTTCAGGGGAACTGGAAGCAAAGAAATCAGGGAGGTTGTCGGCTTTAGTAGGAAGGTCATGGTGCCTGTATAATCATACTAAGACTGACAGGTGCCATGTAGCAAGTGCAGGGTTTTGGTTTACTATTTGGAGAAATTTTATAATGCCCAAATCCAAACTGATATTGTATCACCTGGAAACACTATCTTGTCCCTTGTGTCTTTCTATAGATTGGTGATGCCAAACCAGGCCTACAGAAGGTCATAGATGCACTGGGTTCCATTAAAACAAAGGTACAGTCAAATTTTCTGCCACTTCCTAATAGGGTTTCTGTTTTCCATAACCTACTGGTTCTGGAATATTCTTTTGTTCAAATTGGATAGTTTCAGTTTTACAAGTGGTGTTTGGATGAGAGATTAATAAAGGTTAAATGTTGCTTATATACTTATTTAACTCTTATTTATCCAAGAGTTGATCTTTATGTTAGTCTAATTTTTAGACTTGTACTTATGTAATCTTGCTTCTGTTCATTCTACCATCCATATACAAGAGTCAGAGACTCATGATTGAAAAGAGACTAACAGATCATCTGCTCTATCACTCACACAGCAGCTATTTCTTGAGTGCTTACTCTTAATATCACTTAATATCAGATTGGCCAAAAAGTTTATTTCGTCTTTTTCATAAAATAAATAACTCATTTTTATTTTTCACCAATAACTTTATTGATTTACATATTTTAAGTATGTCAGCTGTCTCCTGAGTAGTATAGCAATGATTTTTCTCACTTAATGCCTCAATTTGACTGCTATGAATTTCACGTGGTCTACCTGACTGCAGAACATTGTCCAGCAAGAAATCTCCAGCATGAAACTTCACAAACCACTTTTGACATTTTCAATCAGTCATAGCACCTCCTCATATACTAACTAAAGAAATCTTTTTTGTATCTGTTGTGTTTTTACCTTTCTTGAAATAATGAAACATAATATGCTGCAAATGTTGTGCATTCTCTTTCATCTTTAATGTTCAAATGGCTACACAAAAATTCACCGATGTTGATATGATTTTTAAAAATACACACTGATATGACAGCTGTCATAATACAATCTAACAAAATTATTTCAAATTAAGTTAAAGACAACTAAGTGCTACTAGAGTCATCTTAGGGGAAAAAAAGAATTTTTTTTGCCAATCCACTACAATGTGAAGATGACAAATAAGTCCCCCATTCATGGAGATTTATATTCTGCGACCTCCTTGAATTGATTCATCCCATATTTAAACCCTTTCTATACCACATCTGTGTTGAGGTCATTGGGCATCTGTGTAAATTGAATATTGCAATCACCAGTGGAAGCCTTTGCTTTGAAGCTCATACTGAAATTGAAGTAGCTTCTATCTTCTGAAATGCTCACCTATTACTTTTAGTTTGACCCTCTTGAATCATATAGAATAAACCTGATGTGAAAACACTAATTCAAAAAGATACCTGCACCCCCATGTTCACTGCAGCATTTTTTATAATACAATAGCCAAGACATGGAAACAGCCTAAGTGCCTACCAATCAATGAACAGATAAAGATGTGAAATGTAATTCAGCCATAAAAAGAATGAAATCTTACCATTTGTGACAACATCGATAGTCCTTGAGGGCATTAGGCTAAGTGAAATTAGTCAGGTTCTCATGCTTATCTCTGCAAATCTATTTTTCCAAGTCAAATGTCTTCTGTTAAGCTCTTTTTGTTTTGTTTCCTGGTGAATGTGGACCTCTCTTAAAAATAGTTTTGTGGTTATTATTTATTTCAATCACGTGACACTTTTAACCTGAATGTTTGCTTTATGCCAGGGTAAGAGTGCCACCTTCGCTGGCTTTGACCCTCAAGGGCTCCTTCCTGCGAGTTTGGACTACTGGACCTATTCAGGCTCCCTGACCACCCCTCCTCTCCTGGAGTGCGTGACCTGGATTGTGCTTAGGGAGCCCATCAGTGTGAGCAGTGAACAGGTCGGTTTTCTCCATAAGGTGTGTGCAGTCAAGGTACAGGAGTTGTGGAGTCAGACCGACCTGGTGTCATCCTCCTGATGCTTCTGGCTGTGGAATTAGTATGCACAGAACTGGACAAATAAACATGCAATTAAACATTGTTATCAATCATAACCTTAGGCCATAGAATTGGGCAAAAGTGAGGATTAGGTGAGGAAAGTGTGTATCACCTAATAAATACTTCTTTTGTGAACACTGAGAAAACAAAGGCCGAGGGCGATGAGATTTCATGCTCTAGGTTATACAGTATCAGGATAATCCTCAGCTTTTTGCTCACTCACATTTAGCTTACTGCTATTTCATTTATGTCCAAGTGTTCCTGAATTTTAATGAAGGGGAGTCAGGCCTTGGAGAAAAGGTATCTATTAAAACTCAGTCCATGTAGTTGGAGCAACTGGGACAGACACCTTACCTCCCTCACATGGTATGGTGGTCTTCGATGGTCAAGTGATTAATGTGTTGCAGTCACTGTGGTACCGATGCAGGCCACCATCATCAACTTAGATTGAAGTTGACTTCATGGGGGTGACTGTGGGAATATTACTGAACCAAAGCGATCAGGCAAAAGGCTATTAACTCATGCCCCCTAACCTCCTTCTTCAGTTAGATCAAATCTCATTTAGGGAAAGGGAAGAATCACTTTTCAAAACAACCTCCGAGAATGTAGAAGATAGGTTGAGAGATACCTATGTCCCTCACGGGGCCAGGGAACAAATTTAAAAGGGAATAAAAATCAATCAAGACAAGAACTGAACTCCCAGTTTGGGCCCACTCATTCCCATGTTTCTGTATATTTAAGCAGAGACACCAGCATATCTTTCCACTGCTGGGCTTATATAGATCCTGAATCACTTTATCTAACTGTGCACATGCTGTAGTTTATCTTCCCTGGGGCAGAAGACAAAATTTTAATTTGCATCTAGAATTATTATTATTTCACATCCTAGAGGTATCATATAGGTTTTTGATTATAAAACCAAAAGGAAAACAGAAAGTTAACTGAAAACGTCCTTCCAAATGACAGTAACAATTTTGTGTCTATTTTATAGAAATAAATTTTTTAAATAAAATCATATGTATATAATCTATAAATGATTATGTATGTATCTACTGGGAATCACACTAAATGTGAACATGGATGTATGGTGCTGCAAATATTTGGGGGAATGTATTTCAAGATGTAATGCAACAATTAAGTCATTACTGTTGCAAAACTTTCATTTTTAATTTTTAAATCTTTTATTGTGTCTTTTAGATGATGAAGTTTCGTCAGCTTAACTTCAATGGGGAGGGGGAATCAGAAAAACCCATGGTGGACAACTGGCGTCCATCGCAGCCTCTGCATGGCCGGCAGGTCAGGGCATTCATCAAATGAGATGCTCCCAGGGCCAGTGTCCAATGGCAAGTCTTGGGGTTTCCCTGCAGCTAGGCACAAATCTACTGAGTGAATTGGACCCTGGTCTTTTGGTGTCTGGTTTTCTATACCTTTCATATGTCACTTGATATGCTTACTATTAAAGTGGGAAGAGCTAGACCAGATATCATGCTTGATAGAATTGCTGTGACAGGTAATTTGCTTACAGATGTGGCCATTTTGTAACAGAGAATATAATTAAAGAGACAGAAAAAGGTACCTTGACTTTGCTCACAACATGTGGATGATGAGCACTCACACTAAAATTTCATTTTTAATAAACAGCAAAGTAGATGGAGCTCAAATCCATATCATAAGATAAATTAAGCTGTGTGATATAAATCAGGTAAAATATTCACAATTCTGTGCAACATAAACCAGACAAAATAAATGTTCCTGACTCCAGGTGTTGTATGAAAGAGATACTTTAAAATTCTTATATAGTTATAGCAAAGTTATCTTAAATATGAATTCTGTTGTAATTTAGTGACTTTTAAATTACAGAAATATAAATGAGGTATTATCTGTAAAAATTGTTATAATTATAGTTGTGGTACAGAGCATATTTCTATCCAGATAATATACCCTAAATTAATAAATGTATTTTAGATATATTCTCTAATAAAATATGAAATTTTCCTTTGGATGATTGTATTTTATGCTTGGTTGTGGGTAATAATGGTGGAACAAATGTGTACTTTATAATTCACATTAATTCATTGTTAATAATAAGTCATCGTAGTTGACTTGCTCATGACTGAAGGCATCTCCACAAAAGAAAAAACACTGAAGGTCCTTTCTTATTTGCATCAGCGGAGAGAAGGTAGAACATACTGAATTAGTACATGCCCCTTGGAAATAAAATAAGTGACATATCAGTCTATTCTGGTTTAAGCACGTTTTTTAGATATTGTATCTCTGCTCCCACATGGGTCCACACAGAGGGTATGCTTGAGTGACTGGGAAGTGTGCCTCAATTTGCATACTGTCTCCTGGTCCTTGTTGACCTCTGATGTAGGATGGCTGGCCTACCCTTGCCCAGGCCTGCACCTGTGTGTGCTGACATCTGCTTCATCTGGTTTTGGAGGGACCTTATTGGAACTTATCCCTGATGGTTACAAAGTCCTATACCCCCTTATCATGACCTAGAGAACAGAGTATAAAGGACGTCCTCTTCATAGGAAGAATCCCATAAGAACAGCCTGCCTTTTCTGACCCAATCATGTGCTCATGCTTCCCTTAACACCCAGATATGATTCTGAAAAGGACTGGAGCACAGGGACATGGGCTCTGACATCTTCCTCCCTCTTTCCTCCCCCTTTTCACACTGTGTCAGAAAGCTGGCTGTCTCTTCTTCTTATAGGACAGGAACATCCCTCACACAAGCAGCACTGACTTGGACCCTTCCCCAGGGTCATAAGAGCAGATGGGATGCACAGAAGGAAAAAATGGTTTCACTACAGGGGATGTGGGTGATGGTTACACAGCAATGTGAATATGCCAAATACTACTTAATACTTAGTACAGTTAAAAGTAAAATGGTAAACTTTATGACTTTTTAAAAAGTCTAATGGAAATTACTTTTATATTATCTAGTGGTTCATTCCTCACTTGTCAGTTGAAAACAGGCATATTTTGCACAAAAACAAGCAGGTATTTATAAATCTCACTTAAAAGTTGGAGAGGCCCTCAATCAAGCCTGTGGCATCAACAGGAGGGGGACTTAAATGCCACATGGTCTTGCTGGGTTCTGCAGTGTGATGGACTGGATTCAATGTTTGGCTTTTCATCTCTCAGCTTCACAAACTGGGGCAAATTCTTTAATCTCTTTAAATCTCCTTTTCTTCATCTATAACACGAGGATTATAATACTAGCAAGCATATCAAATTCCTGTGAGCAAATGCATGTAAAAGACATGCTAGCAGGCTTAGAAACACTAAAAAAAATCAAATATGGCCAGTAAGAAAAAAAAAGTGATTAAAAATGAAAAGTGTTCATTATTAATACAACGCAGAGCAGGCTGCTGCTTACAAACACCGTGAATGACTACATAATCTTCCTCTGTTCCTCCTGGCTTTCAGAACACTCTATCTGCTTTCTTGTATGCTACTTCCAAAATACATGCAGATCCTGACCATTCTGTGAAGTTTTTTTTTTATTTATAGGGACCAAAAATACCAGGTGTATGAAAAACAAGCATTTCTCCCATTTGCTTCCAAGTCTAGAAAACACTTATGCAACCAGAAAATAAAATCCACTTGCTTCCTTATTGCACTACCTTCTGGAACATACATTGAAGGGTACATTTTAAAGCTTTTATTGGTCAAGGAAACCACACTGGAGTCTCTCCCAAAGGGCTGAAAGAAGAAGCATACAGCTCCTGGTCAGGTAGACAAGCTCCCAACTGCCAAGATTTCCTCCCCTTCGCTCTCATTTTTGAAAGGTAGACAATAAACTATTTCAGATTGACATTTTTACTTGTTTTATTACTGACCACTCTGGGAGAAATTACTGACTCCTGAGAGCTTATGTGACAATAACATGTAGATGTCAGCTTTGAGGAAAACGGTATTTCAAATGCATTACTATTTTCAATATGGGTCACTAAATAAGGTGTCAGAAACACATAAAAAATGAGTGTTTGGAATAAGAAAGGGAAGTTTAGAGTAGGAAGTATAGCTGTTAGAGTCCTACTGAGACATGAATATTTCACCTGTGTGGCCTTGGATACATTGTTTAATGATTCAGATCTGTTCCTTCACCAGAAGTGAGGATCATAATATATATTAGAGTGTTGATGACAAATAAGTGGGATGTGGTCAAAGGGCAGTGCAGTCTGGCTCATAGGAAGTGCTCAGTAGATAGTTGTTCTTGTACATATACTCAAAATAAGATCTGTTTTCTCATCAGACAAAACCAAGGCCATGTTATCACCTGAAGATCACAGTAGTCATGTCCTCACCTGAGGATCACAGCAGCCTCCACCTGACTGATTCAGGTAGAATAAGGAAGAGATTCAGAATGCAAGTTTGGCTAGGCTGCCATGTTTGAACACCAGCTGTGCTGTCCCTCACTGAGATGACGGATAAGATATGTAACTTACCCTGGCTTCAATTTCCTCATTGTTCAATGGAGATAATTGGGGTACCTAGTGGTTAGGGTTGTTTTGAAGATTTAAAGAGTTATCCCAGGTAAAACTTTTAACACCATTCTTTGTTAATGGTGAGTGCTCAATAAGTGTAGGCTAAAGTGATTAAGAATTTATTGACTCTTCCTTGCAGAGACACATTCCATAATGTAGTAGCTGGGTTTTTTCCAGGTTCATGAAAATGCATAACTGAATAGGTGAGCATAGGGCTGCCTCCCATAAACATGCTGAGGCTTTCATGTCTAAACAAAGTTAGCTGTACTACAAATCTCAGTGGGATTTTGATTTTTCAGAGTACAACTCAAGGAACATCTCTGAGGCTGAATGCCATCCATGGGCAAATGGTCTATTAACTGTGGAATGACAGCCCTGGAATGAATGTGGAGGGAAACAAACATTGCAGGGACAGCTAGAGCTGTCAAGGGTTGACAGGTGCTATTGTTGATTTTTCTGCTCATTTAGTTGAGTTCAATGAGTGGTTTGGGAGTAGGCATTCCCAAACTTTTCCACAGTCTTTTCTAGTATGCCAGTTAGCAAGCCTTCAGTGAATTTGCTTCGTTTTTATTTGCCTACCTCTCAGGTGAATTTGTTAGCTACAAAAGAGTGCTCTAGGCATGAAGTTACAAGATGTGTTTTTAGAACATTTTTCTGTCCTTTAAATAATTTATGGAATACATATTACAAATTTTAATGACTACAACAGAAATTCAATATAAATTTGAGAAAAGCACAATCTAGAGTCCCTGTATGTTTATATTGTATATAAATTTATGTCTTAACAAGAAGCATTTTCACAGAATATTTGTGTAGGTGCCAAACTGAACAAAGTAAACACTCATCAAGCTACACTTATGTCCCTGATGGCTTAAAAAGTATTTTCTGAGAAACTTTCATTTTGGAAGAAGCCAGAGTCTTCTGCCCACATTCTGTGTTTCAGCAGCACTCAGTTCGTCCAGGATCTCTGTCACCATGAGGCAGAGCTGTTTCTGCATGCATCCAAATAGGATACAGTGACCAGTGTGCCATATTTTTATAATATGTAGAGAAAATCAAGTTGTAATAGCTCTGTTAGTTGTTTCATCACTTCATTTATCTGACATTTATTGAATGTCTATGATGTACTTGGCACTGTGCTAGGTGCTGGGGGAAAGATTAGTAAAACATAAAGTTTGATTTTAACACAATTTGCTATTTGCATCACCCAAACATAATGGTTGAACATGCAAGTATTGATTAAATATAGATGTTTTTCCAGATTCACTAAAAGAATCTCCAACTACTTTAGCTGAAAAAAAATTCTTTTAGATATCTCAATAAAACAGTAAAGGAGAAATATGTATTGGTCTAATGAAACAATGTAATTGGAGTAGATTGACCTCAGTCATGCTTAAAGAATTAAAAATGGCAGTATAATATTCTCTTAAGGTAAAATAACAGATTACTTAGAAAAATAAATACATAAGTAAGTGAGGCCTCATGTTCATTCATATAGTGACATAAGATCTAAGAATGCAAAAAAGAAGCAGTATTTGTCTTAACAAGCTTTATATTTTTAAAGTCAGCCAGCATTGAATGAATACCTGCTGTGTGTTGTTACTATTTGACAGGCATTTTCCATTCTACTTGTGTGACAGTAGGTGACTAATTTAATCCTCATGGATATCAGTTGCCCATCTGTAAAGCAGGGATGTTAATCATACCTTCCTCAACACATTGTTATAAAGATCAAGTAAGGTATATTGAGAAAGCACTTGGCACAGTGGCATGCATGTGGTAACTTCAATAAATGTTTATTGAATCTGAGTATGTCATGTAATTTTCCCTATTACTCTTAGAATCAGACTGGAAGACTTTTATAAAATCTTAGGTGCTTCAAAACTGAAATTTCTTCCATAGCCTTATTAAAAACACATGTTGTCAGAAACAGAAGCAAAATCTTTTTTCAGCAGAGAATAATAATAAATAGATGAAAATAAAAATAAATTATAGCTTGAATTACATTTTAAACAAGTTCTTGTTTTTTTGAAATTGAAAACTTTCTTTTTAAATATTTTATTTATTTATTTTTAGAGAGGAGGAAGAGAGGGAGAAAGAGAGGGAGAGAAACATTACTGTGTGGTTGCCTCTCATGTGCCCCTACTGGGGACCTGGCCTGCAACCCAGGCATGTACCCTCACTGGGAATCAACCTGCAACCCTTTGGTTTGCAGGCAATCCACTGACCCACACCAACCAGGTAAACAAATTATTCTTAAATGTATTTTAAATGATTGTATATTCTCCATGAGTATAAAAGGGGCAAATCTTTTGTATCTTTTCTCTATCTTGCATTACCTTGGGTTAAGATGAGAGCTATTAAACTAAGCAGCCAGACACATTTCCTGTTTCAGGTAATAAAGTTTAAATCTCTTATAAAACAATGTATTCATCCTGCAATCAATTTAATCTCACAAATATGAACAAATATACCAACATATTATGTGGCTTAAATGTTGA